TCAAAACATAGGTCAAACCATTTAACTTCCCCTACCCCCACATTTTGCCTATTTTTTTAAGTGGGAGTAAACACACTGTCCCAGGTTCCCAATTCTACCACTCTTGTTCTGTGTTTCTCCAGGCTCCAGCTGTGTTAGAGACATGCTGTGTTGTCTTTCCTCTCTCTCTCTCTCTCTCTCTCTCTCTCTCTCTCTCTCTCTCTCTCTCTCTCTCTCTCTCTCTCTCTCTCTCTCTCTCTCTCTCTCTCTCTCTCTCTCTCTCTCTCTCTCTCTCTCTCTCTCTCTCTCTCTCTCTCTCTCTCTCTCTCTCTCTCTCTCTCTCTCTCCCCGCTTTGAAGTCATTAGGGTAGCACTGAGAATACAGAAGACTGTGCAAGAGTAGAGATATAAAGGAGAACTGGAGAGAGCAACCACAGCAAAATCCCATTCAAATTCTACCTCTCGCCTAGCCAACCTGAGGGTAACCCAGTCAGCACTTTAAAACTTAGCTACATACTGGATAGCCTCATCTGGTCTTTTTTCCTTTTCCTAGTCATCACCAAGAAGCCTCTACTGATTGTGCAAATGCCAAGATTTTATAGAAGAGTAAAACCACCAAATTTGTAGGTGTGGAAATAAGGCACCTTCTCTACTGTCCCATGAAAAAGTGGACAGGAGGGCTCAGCATTCCTCTCCCTGCCCCAGAGCAGCACAGCCATGCTGATTGCTGAGGCTCAGCAGCATCTGCTCTGGGAGCTTTCCTCAGCTACCCCATGGTCTTCAGCAGGGCTGCACCACCTGAAGTACCAGGAGGATGAAGGACCAGGAAGGCTGATGGCCTGGCTAAAGCAGGAACAGCTGGGAGGGTGCAAACCTCCTGGGCCTCTGGATGGGAGCAGCAGGAAGGGGTGAGCAGTGTGGTGGGAGTCCAGCAGCTACCAGCTGGACCACTGGGCCATGGGACATGGACTGCAGGTCTCCCTGTGGGAGAGGAGGCTGAAAGAGAAGCCTGCCAGGGCTGAGAATTTGCTTGTGGTGTGAACGTATTCAGATTTAGCCAGAGGACTCACCTGAGCTGGAAGGGGACTGGACGTTTGTGGTGCCTGGGATGCAGTGCTGAGTTGTGGCTGTGGTGGAGGTAGGCTGAAGATCTGTGTAGAGAAATGGAAACACAACAGCTGCTTTTGTCTTACCGTGACACAAGGAAATGTCCTGCATGGCCAGTCTGACATGGAGTCTTAAACACCCTCTTTTTACACACACAACGGGAAACGACTGACATTTCTGTCTAGAAAACCGGACAATGATGCAGATGAAACAGCCCCAAATCACCTTCAGGAAACCCAGCAATGGCAGCAGAAACACTTTCCGCAAGTCTGAGAGAGAATGGACTTCAGGAAATGAAGCAGCTGTGAAGAACATGACTCCAACATACCCAACATGGCTTCAGAGAGTGCTGACAGCTGAGAATCACCAGGACAGAGCAGACAGTGACCCACTGGACAGAAACACATGGAGACACAAGCTGATCCCACTCTGTCAGGAGAGGCCCAGGCAGCATGCAGGGACTTCACCAGTTTCTGGAGGCAGCAAGTAATTTTGCTCCCAATACTATTTTGTGCCCTCACCCTCCTGCCTTCAAGCTGGCTGTTCTTCCAAGCTCAGTCCAGGTGTGATGGAGGGGGGGCAGCTGAAGCCTTTGGGACTGGCTAGGAGCTGGCAAACAAATTTTGTTTATACCCATTGAACTATTCCACTTTGGAGGTTCTCCATTGATTTCTGCAGGAGTTGCGCTCGCTTTAAAAAAGAGACAAGTGGAAATCTACCCTTATCGAAAGCTCTCCTTTAACACTTACCAGAACTAAGGACAATGTGCCCAAGGGCTTCTCCCCAGCTCATGTACAGGCTGACAGAGGCTCTGTCAGCCCACAGATTGCTTGGTGGTAAGGTGAAGGTTTCCAGACAAGCTGGATTTGCCTAAAATTTTAAAAGAAGAGGAAAAAGACACCTTGGTGCTGTAAGCCCAAGCCTTTTCCTTCTGTGCTTTTTTCCATGCCCATACTAAAGGAAGGGTCACTGTACAAGTTGCTGCATTCTGTTTGCTCATATTGAGCAGTTGCATGAAGGCTTGTCCCAAACAGAGCTAATTATGGTTCTGTAATTAGCCATGTGGAAGGACAGACCTCCCCATGTGGAGGGAAGTACTGCAACAGCAGGCACAGAGAGGTCCCTGAACCAGGGCCACCAAACAGTTGGGCGAGCAGACAGCCAAGTCTGTAAGATCAGATCAGAGTAGGGACGAACTTTATAGGGAGGAAATAACCAAATTAAATGAGTCACAGAATGCAAAACACATGCATCAGTTGGACTACTAGACAGAGAGCTAATTGGACACAGTTATATTACTGTGGGGGAAGGTCCAGAAATAGCTATCTAAAACTCACTGCTGGAATACCTATTACAACTTCTTTTTTCTCTTTTAGCAAATAGAAAAAAACAGACTGTGTTTGTTTATACACACATTCTGACTGAGGTGTGTATTTATTTTTACACTAGGAGAACATCTGTAAACGTGACAGGAACATTTGATAGGCTATGATATTGAAAAGGGAATGCATTCTTAAATTGCTTATTAGGTCCTGAAAACAACTGACAAGCCAATATCCTGCTCTCCAAAGAAGTAACTCATTAACCATTGTAACAGTCTTGCATATGTTTGAATGCAATGCATAAATCCTTGAAACAGCATAACAACTGCAAATAACTGTCATGTGAGGTCTGCCAGGAGGGCAATGATTACTCCTCTCAACTGCAACTCCAGATACCTCTTGTCTACAAATACCAGAGAGGATTGACAGATCCCAAAGAATTGGTCTCCAAGTCCTCCTATTTCTCCCGCAGGGAAACCAGCTACCAGAGCCAGTGCACTTCACCCTCAAGAGCCCAGAGATAATTAGGGTGGCTATTGATTGCTTTTGTGTCAATGAAACCAAGAAATTGATGGAGTTGCCTTTCCACAACTTTCCTAATGTTTTTCCTTAAAGGGCAAGCAGGGCACAAATCAGCAGCCAGCTAGACTGCTAGTATCAACAACTGGTTTCCAGGTCCTGGCACACAGACTTACAGTTTGTGTAGCTTATGTACTTTGGATCCCATAGGATCCCCATGGAGAAGATGGACACTATGCACAACCATGTGGGAGAGTTGCAATGGCTTATTGGTCTTGCAGAGTAAAAGGACATA